AAAAATCAACCAAATGAAAGATTTTCGAGCGTTTCAAGCTCAAAAAAGGGGGAAGCTCCAGAGATGGCCTGCTGGTCAACCGCTTTTTAAATTTTTTAGTCAGATTTGAAAAAATTTTTTTAATTTTCCCACAATGCTGAAAAAAAGTTTCAAAATTTGTTCAAATAAAACCTACCTTAGTAAAATACAATAGAATATTATTTTCTTTCAATTCATTATTAACAAAGTTTGCTTATGATGTTTTAAATACTAAACAAATTTAAAGATGACTATTTGAATTTAAAAACATTAAAATAATATTTAATTTATAATAATCTACAAAAATATTTTTAAAAAAAGACAGGTGATATCTCTTAAGTAGCTGACCATTGTTTGCTCAAAAATTCCATTAGAAATGCATGTATACAAGGAATAACATACCTTTCAAAATTTTCGCATAGCTGTATTCATAGTCCGTTTTCTGAGTAAACTTATTGGTGTGTTTTTCTAACACCTTGAGAATTCTTTAGTTCAAGCATTATGCATCTACTTGCTCATCGTTATATAGAGACATCTATTAGAGTTTAGGAATATCTATTTTTGTGTACAAATGCTGAAACTTAATAGAATACCGTGAGAATACAACACATTCTTTTATTCGAAAAATGCATACTTTGTTTGTTTGATACATATTTGTTGATACGGTTTTTTTCAATTAATTTTTTAAACAAATTATTTAAAGCTTTCGAAGCAAAAAATTCCCAGCAAATCTTTTAAGATCAGGTTGAAATGTGAAAATTTAATAAAAAATCTGAAAAGCAATTAATTCTGTAGGACATCACAGGAACTTTTTTTTTAAATTGAGCTGAAAACGCTCGAAAATTTTCCTACTGTGAATTTTTGAGCTCTTCGTAAAACACTTCAATGAAGATTTTGAATTGCAATATCTCTCGAGTAAGCCAACCGATTTTGATGCAGCTTATTAATGTATTTGACGCACGATTTCAAACAAAAAACGATAACTGAATCCTTAAAGAAGCAATTACTTAAGAAATTTAGAAGTGATGTGAAAAAAAACACTTTTTCGACAATTTTTCGCTACTATTTTTCTTAAATGAATTTACCAATTTCAACGCGGTTTGCAACAGTCAAAGTTATCTTTTGAGTAGAAAAGTTGGTTGGATTTTGGAATCGATCGCCATCGTAGTATAAAAGTTCTTTAAAAAAAGTTTTTTTTTTTTTAATTTTACGTTTACGAATTCTCAAAATTTATCCGGCTGAATCAATACAAATTTCTAGTAAATCTGATGGGTAGAATCTTTGGATTGCCGAAAACCGCATTTCGACAGGTCAGGTCATTCAAATAATATGGGAGGTTAATATATATATACACACACGCTGTGTAAAAATAGTCAGAATAGCTTCCTATGACCTCAAATCGTGGAGATCTTATGAGAACTCGATTTTCATTAATCGGGGTGAAAATAATTACTTTCCTATTTCTGAAACTAATTGATTTTTATAGCAGAAAGTTATAAAACTATACACATTATTAAAATTTTGTTATAGAATCGAGTAATAATTACACTGTAAAAAAAGCGGTGTTAAAATGGACTCATTTTAACACCGCTATGTAACACCTGTGTATTAACACCGGTGTAGCGGTGCTCTTTTGCGGTGTTAAAAATACGGGGTTAAACCGGTGTAATACCGGTGTTACAGCAGAATAAATTTACACCGTATCGGAGTATAAATATGACATGATCCATAAAACACAATTAATATTCAATATTTATCAAAATGAGACAAGTGACATTTATTTAAGAATTTTCAATTTATAAAATTACGCAGAAATCGATTTAATGAATGTTATACAACAAGTTAAATAATATTTACAATATTAAATGTTTAGAAACAATATAATAATTATTTTTATCGTAACCATGATGTTTCTCATAATATAATGGATGTTTTAAACATGATAAATTAATAATTTGATAACTTTGCTTTTTTTTCAGATATTTCATTTGTACATAAACTGATATTGTAACACATAGTCTCCCATAGCTTACACAACAGGATTATATTATCATTATAAAAGAAAATTCTTTGAATTTTACCATAAATGGGTAATTCGAAAATTCTTAAATTGTCCCAAAAACGTCCTAAAATTGTCCAAAAAATTTTTCATCCATTAATTTCGGGACAACTCTACAGCTGTGCAAAAATAAATTATTTCTATGAAAATCATTTAAAAAACGTTCAAAATTGTTTCAAATTTGTTGTAAAACTGTCCAAGAAATGTTCCAAAATTGTCTCAAAAATGTCTCAAAAGTATTCAAAATTTGTTCTCAAATAGTTAAAAAAATGTTTTAAGATTATCTAAAAAACTTTCTACATAAGATTTAAGGACAAAATTTCAACTAAATTGCTTCAAATAAATTGCATTGATTCTAAAATAATCTTAGAAGTATTCCGAAAATCTTAAAAAAATACTTAAAAGTTATGAAATAATTACTAAAATGCACTATTTTGAAAATTCCGGTTATTTATGTGATGTCCCAAAATACTCCGGGTCCATTTTTACATCGAAATTTTTTATAGTGTATTTATTTTAATTAAAAATTTTTACTTAATATTTTATTATTTTAAACTTTCTAAATTAAATATTAACTTTTTTTGATTATTTATTTTTAATTATTAAAAACGCGACCGGTGTTACTGCTACACTGATTTCGCACCGGAATTTTTAACACCGTACACTGCATGGACTCACACCGGTTTTTTTTTACAGTGTATTCTCAATTAACGATCTGTTTTGAAGAGACTACATATAAATATTGTAGACATATTTAACAAATTGCTTCCACTTAGTCGAAAAGGTTTCCTAAGAGTAGCTTTTGCAATCTATATATATCATCAAAACTGTCTCACTGAAGCTTTCCAAAAATTCTCATAACGCCGATGACATTTAGTACCGAAGAAACATTTATTCATTTAGGTACACATACTTTCTGTGAGTAAATCATCTGATGAAACACTACAAAACAGAAACCCCATGAAAGCACGTTTCAATTACAGTCTATTTCATTTTTATATATATATATATATATAATATGTAGATAAAATATATAATATACAAGTGTTTCTCTGATGATGCAAATAAACCCTATTCAAAGCCTTAAATATTTTAAAATATGCTCTTTCGTTCTCTCTATGAACTGAGTTTATGGCCAAGCAGCACAGAGAGACAGGATCCCAATCAGGATTATCCTACTTTAGTTAATGGACACTTTGTCATCGTCTCTTTGTTAGCTCGGCGGTAATTATCACTCGAATTTTCGGTAAAAATTAACAACAAAATAAACGATCTCTTAAGATGTGACAAATCCCAGACTGAAATTTAATCTTTTAGCTTATAGAATTTCGTTGTTATTCCCGTCATCATATAGATATGAAGTGTTTTTTTTATATTTAGTCATACGCTACTGTTGAGTTAACATATCTATTGTGTTATTTAAAAAATTTTTAAAAGATGCATATGAGATTAAACGTCACTATTACATAGTATATTTGAGTTATACATATTATATATCTGCACATTTCTACTAATGGTCTCTCCTTTAGCCTATTATCTTCTCTGTGCATGAACAAATGGATTTCCTAACCGCATAATATAGACTGCCATCAACGACAGCTTACCGCATATATGTATATGTATATGCAAAGGATATATGTATATTATTATTGTAAAGTTGTTGCAAAGTGAGTTGTTCGTTTTGTCAAAGCAAAATCATTGTGTTGTTCAAATATTCCAAATGGCCATTATGCATTACTTTTGTATAAATTATAATAATGATATGTTGAGCACTCATGTTTATCGTAAATCATTGCTGCAGTTTTTGTAATTTATGTATCGGTTGTGCTAAATAAACGATTATATTTATTCATTACTGTCAACTATAATTTAAAGGATAGTAACTTACCTATGTACATTATATATTAGAAAAAAAAAATATATGTTTCACTACTGCATATTGACGATGTATAATATCTATTGTACAGTATATATGTTGCAGTCTTTTTTTAAATTTATCATTTCATAAAAAACCTAATAAGGTAAAAGACCCAGTTATTGACACTGAACTAGTTATTGACACTTGCAATTTTATTTAACTTAAATAAATCAAATCGACTCTAATAAATTAATAAATATAATTTTTGAACTATAAATTTTAAGATAAATGGTTTTTTAAGAACATTTTATTTTTTTAATTAGAATAAAATTGCAAGTGTCAATCAACTAGGCTAGTGTCAATAACTGGGTCTTTTACCTTATAGGTATAATACTAGAACGGCACCATTGATTAAATTTAGTGAAAACTATCCGAAGTTCTTTATTTTACGTGGTAACGCATGAAATATGACAAAACTCGATGCCGGCACTTCGTGATGAATTTTATGGCTTAACGAATTTTATTAAAAGACTACGACATGTATAAAAAATAATAATAATATGAGGAAGGTACAGTTATCAAAATAAAAAAAGCAATAAATAATTAAGTTTCAAGAACAAATTTTATTAAAACGTCATATTTAATCTGTTATTGTAATATTTCAAAGATTTTTTTCCATATCTATGATTTAATTTGCCTTAAATTCTATATATACATATTAGTTTTAGACGCAATTTTTGTACATACGATCAAAATACATGTAATTGTACGGAATCATTTGAATTTAAAGTTTGATATATTTTGTTTTAAGATGATTGATTTATGACGAACATTTTTTTAATTAATACACAATTTGATTTTAATTGTTTTATGTTGACAAATTAAAATTACATGTTAATAATGATATACATTTTTTACACTTACTATTTTACACTTTGAACAGCCGAGATCAGCATTTAGTTTTTTTCTAATATTTACAATATGAAGATTTTATGTACACAATTTATAAATATATTTATTAATATATATATATATATATATATATATATATAAGTCTTATTATATTTAAACGCTGGAAGTTGACGTCGCGTTTGCTTGAATATAATAATTTCTAATATGCAAATGATTGTGAAGATGCATTGATGAAAGTGGTTGTGTTGTTTTTATTGCCGTCGGTTCATTCCAATCACACTGATTGCTAGGTGAAATCATTTTGGTATCAGGGCTTGCACTGGGTGTGCCAGGTGAAGGTAGTGGATTTGCTTCAGCAACCACATCAACGTCCACGTCGACATCTTCGTCATCTTGATCTATATGGTCAGTTTCTTGCTCATCCTCGCTGCAACTATATTTCCGCGTTTTGGTTGTTCTGATAACAACAGACTCAACGTCATCGATTTGTTGGTCATCTGGCGCAAGAAGACTAGCAACGTCAAATTGACGTTTTCGAGATGGTTGATAGGACATTCTCAATAGAGGAAGATTTTGAATATGACGTTGATGTTGATGCTGTGAATGTGGACTTTGTGGGGATAATTGCTGTAACTGATGATTGTTGGACTGCTGAGCTTGGTGATGATGGTGATGATGTTGAGGACTCCAAAGGGCCGTTATCGGCTGCGAAGTAACCGGGGGACCAACCAGACCCGTCGGCGGTGGTGGAGTTGCTGGTAAAGGTGGTGGGCTCGGACTGTCTGGTTCTTCGTCAACAGCAAGACCCATATGGCGGCGTACTTTTCTTTGAGCTTTGCGTCGTCGGAAGTCACCACGACGAAAGTCTTCCAAATTAGCTGGATGGATGGCCCAATAGTGACCTTTACCATTAGCACTCCTTCCAGATTTAACGAAGCAGTCGTTTAATGACAAGTTATGTCTTATAGAATTCCTCCAGCCTGGTCCACGACTTCTAAAATACGGATAGTTATCTAGAATGTGCTGATAGATGTCAGATAACACAAGTTTTTTATCCGGTGATGACAAAATCGCCATCGCAATAAGTCCGATATAACTGTGTTGCGGTTTAGGTTCTTCTGGCATACGAGGATGATGAGGATGAAGTAAAGCCATAGATAAAGCGAGTCTATTGGGATAGCTTGCAACAGCAGCTGCCGCTGCAGCAGCTGGATACAATGGAAGAGGCGCGGAAAAACCTGGAGACATTCCAAGATGAGATCCTGGTCCTCCAGATGTAGGATGTCCTACTCCAGGATGTTGTGGATGTAACTGATGAGCTAATCTTAGTCTTTCGGCCATTGATGCATAATGATATAATTGGAGCCGATAGTGTTCAAATGGCAAGAATCCAGCCATAGCACCACCAACACCAATACCTAAGCCTATTGTTAATGGTTCTTTTGCCGGTGGAGGGCTTTCGTTATTACACATTGCAGATTAGGAACTCTTACAACTAATATAGTTTACACTGATAATTTAACTTTGTTGGTTTAAACATTCCAAGTTTTAAACATATTTTGATACTTTTATTAGATGACTAGAGTTTATGTCACATTTACTATAAATACAATAAATTTACTCAACTAATTTTGCACAAACTCTGATAAAATAAAAAAAATCTCATAACTTGTTGCACCCACGTTTATTCTCTGATGTTTGGCCTAATTCGCGACGAGCGAGCGACTGGTCATGATTTATGATCTTGGTTTGAGCGCAACCTAAAGGTTCCCTTCTCTGTGGGTTGCTACGTTGTTGGCGCACCAGAAACGCCCGTTTTTCTACTGCGCCAGGGCACCCTTTCGGATATTGGTGGTAGAGTAACATAGTATGTTCAACCAATAGCATTCCTCGAAGGCGTGGTCTTTGCTGGTATTCCTAGACCCGCCTGCAATGCTGAGATATTGATCTTAGGCATTGTCATCCAACACTCGTTTAAGGTGGGTGGTAACGGCTATTCGTTGCTGTTAGAGGCTCGATTTCATGAGAGTGTGTTTTAGAACAAGAACGAGATATCAACACGATAGAGTCGACGACTTGTTTGACCTCAGATGTGATTTTACTCAACCAAACTTGGTCCGAGATTTTGATATTAATATCTTCATATCTAAATATACTTTTTAAGTTATTAGATATTGTTAACACACGCACACACACGTATATCATGGCTTCTATTATACGGTTTGTATTCATAATATTGTTCTAATTACAATGAACTATAACGGTACATTATCTTCAAACCATCATTCCAGAAAGTATATCAGCATAATCATAAAATATATAAATACATATAATAATAAGTGCTGAAGAAAGTCCGTTGTGTATAAAAAATAACCCGTCGTGCCTTTTGATTTATATACAGTATAAAAAAATATAAAAGGTCAATAAAAAAGAAACTATTTGTAAGAAACGTAACAATAAAAAAAAATATTTTAGCTCCACCTCAAGAGAAACTAGCTCAACCCTACTCTTCATTTATTCTTCATGTTTTTTGTTGTATTACTTTTACAATTGCTTTATTTAACAAAGGGTACATATCGTACCGACGGTGTATTTTAAAGCGGATTGATCAGAGGTAACATGTTGCATACACCCGGGGACACCGCCCCAGTACTATTTGTAAGCATTCGCCATGCTGGTTTCATATCTACATCCACAACTTTTGCACAACATAATTTACATTTAGCCCCGGTAAAACATATTAATGTTGAACAGAATTTCAAAGCGTGAATAATGAATAGCCACATATTCATGTGTGTGTTATATAGTTAAAACTACATTTTGTAAATAAAATACAGCAACCGGATAGACGTACGTGAAGCGCATATATTTATTAAATATAGTAACAAACTTTATTTAATTCCAATTTTTCACAAAATTTGTGTATGTTTACTATCCTATTTTTCCTGTTATTGTCCCCAATGAATAGAAGAGGGTGGAGCATATGAATCGCCCTTCTAAACTGATAGTAACCTTTCTCTAAAACTTTTGATCATCGGAGTGAACAAAATTTTGGTTTTATATTGAACAAATTCGTCGTCATATTTATTCATAAATCCATAAAAATTTGTTTTAGACTCAATGCCCTTCTTGAAGTAGTTACAAAAAAAAAATTTTTTTAACCTTCATGACGTATATTTTATATCTAGATCATTTTTCATAAGTACTCCGGAGGTGCTTATAAAAACGGCTTTAAAATGTTTTTCAATTATAGTCTTAATAATTTTCATGTCTTCACTATACTAACTTTAATTTCACTGTATAGAAAAAACAACTTTTTATTGTTGATTTAACTTCCTCTCTACTCCAAGTATAATATTATCACAAACAATAAAAAACAAAATGAAATCTGGAGCCCTACAAAATTGCCTAAAAAGGTATAATCCTAAATCAGTAATAAAAGATTTTATTCGCGTCAAAGATTTTTCCGACGGAAATATTCATTATTTCGAAATTTTGTAGATATTTGTAGAGCATATTTAGGCTCGAAAATACTTGTTTACTAAAAATACAATGTCTAAAAAAAATTATTTCCCAAATTTTGGTTATGACGTTATTGCTTATTTTACTGTCCACTTACCGTTGTAATTCAATTGTCTAAATGTATGTTTATGCATTCAATATTTCGTATCAAATATTTGTTGTTATAGCAATAATAATATATAAATGTTATGAAAATTAATAGTAATACGATTGAATTCATCTTGTTGTTACTTGAAAAATTTTTTCGTTAAGGGAGGGTCCATAAACTACGTGGTCATATTTTAGCCCTTCTCAGACCCCTCCCACCCCTCATGTAACCTAACGTAGCTTTTCTCGTGACCCCCCCCCCTCCTCCCCAACCCGATGGATCGTGGTTTTTTACACAATATTTTCTGAACGGGAAAAAAAATATTGTTAAGATGACTATCCAACGTATCCTCAAATGACGTATCCTTAAAATAACGATCCGGTTTTCTAATTTAAGGATTCATTTGTTTCACTTAAGCATACAGAGAATAGCTCTTGTAAATATATGTAGTTTCGTCAAAACAGGCAACTGTTTTGTCAACGTGAGGATCTGTATAGTTGAATCAACTAAATGTAAGGCCTAAAATAATGATACGGATCGTCAATTTGATGATCCGCTGTATAGCTGAATTGGCTATACAGCGTATCTCTAAAAAAAAAATGACTATACGGCGCGCATAGTCAGAATAACAATACGTATCCTGATTCTAACGATATTTTTCTCTCCACGTGCTTTATACTTTACATTATTAAAAAAAAGTTTATTTTGAAGGAATAATAATAATTTTTGCTTAATATATTAGGCCATCCAGCCACGTCCAAGTCACCTAAGTTAACGCAATATCATAAAAAAATTGCGTTAATATATAAAATTTTCCGAAAATGAAAAATAAATAAATGCATTGATAAAATAATTTATTAATATTTTATATAACTTTATTAAGCCTTTTTGATGAATGATTGTTTAAAATATCATAGGATTTAATAACATTTAATAAATCATTTATTAAATACAATTTATTAACTTTTAATGAATAGTTGTTAACTATTTCTAGAGATCATTTAGCTGTCAATAAATGTACTTACCTCAAAAAAATGAATTTATTAACAGTTCATTATTTTTGCAAACATTTTATTCATAATTCCGTAGAAAAAATTAGCATCTGTATTTCAAATAAAATTATTAAACAGTTATATATTTATTTCACAAAATAATTCTCATTTGAAGAAAACTACGAAGCTTTGCTTTTACCTCCCCCCTCCCCCCCGTTACGTAGCTCAGCGTACTATTTAAACTTGTCCTTAGTTTACTTGACTAAAACTATATAACATATCAAATTACTTATATTTTAAAAATCGAATTTTTTTATTTTGATGTTTTTTCGACATGTTTTTGTATATATTAAAGAAACTGAGCTGTTAATTCTCAACCTTAAAAATTTGCAAAAATTGGAAAATCATGATTTTTTTTTAATTTCATAAAAATAATGCTGCTATAAGTTTCAAAAATTTTTTACTCTTGGTCAATTTCATACAATCTATAGCAAATTATTTCTGTAATGATAAATAGATCTATGGTATAGATAATAGCTTCGAAAACGATACGTTAGATAGATAAAGTGGCTATATATACATGAATCGCTCCAATAATGCGTGTAGCAGCAAATCATGCGACATATTTCACATTAATTTCAAAATTAAGAGATTTATGTATATTTGGTCAATTTTTCAATCATTAATGACCAGCATATAATAAACTATTCACCAACAAGTTCATATATTTATACAATGCAACTATACTTTTTGCATTTTTTCTTACCATAAAAGCGTTTAGGTCAATTACTCTGAACATTTAGTGCGGAAATAAATGTTCGTTAGGTTAGAGAGCGTTGTGAGAGGTTGTGGTTGAAAATATTTGTTATAGCTCTTACAGACAGTTTTAATCTAGAAATTATGTATGTAAAAATCGCTACCGTGAGAATACGCATATTATCGTAGTATCGATTTATAACTGAGCTATCTTTTAGATACAGTGTCGACAAAAATATTTTTCGAGTAATCATGTGAATTTACAATGAATGAAAAGATATTTAATACTCTTAAATAAAGAGATTGAAACTTGAAATTTTATTTTTTTGAATGTCATGTCTAATAATAAAAATATGTGATGCATATGTACACACAAGAAAATAATACGATCCAAAAATGATTGAATCTCCATATGTAATTTCCTATTTGCAAAAACCATTTATATTTTGAAGTAAAGACATATCTACATATAATGGGCCATCAGATAAATAGTATCCATAAAAACAGTACAATACTTGTTAAATGGCCTAAAAAACTCGTATGGTGAGAGATAATATCTTAAATATAAGAAGAGTCATATAAATCTGTAACCCTCAATGTCAAAACACAATTGAGTTGTTCAAAGTAAATCTGATAGATCAAGATCAAGATTAGATCAACGAAACCGCAAAACGTTTCTTACCTGCATCATTCTATATAAACTTAATAAACTCATGATCTACGGATTTTCAATAAAGATGACACTATATATGAATTGCTACTGTGAATTATATACATAGCCAGCTAGGATTCCGAAAGCAGAATCTTGCTATTGTGATTTCAAAGCGACTAGCTAAAACGTTTCTCGTACTTCACAGTATAATCGAGATAATTGTAACAAAATGGAGCGTCATTGTCACTTTAACAGTATTGAAGAGCCAGTGAAGAAGGTACGTGATAGATATAGGACATAACTTGAGTGTAAGAAAAGAAGGGCAAAAAATGAGAACATATGAAAGAAAAAAATTGTAATGATTGAGGGTGGCCTCACTTTGAATTTAGGTAAGTGGCAGATGCATTGCCGAGAGTTGACAGCTTCTCGGATTACCTTAAATGCAGGTCCTGCTCTAGACAAG